AATGTTTGTTAAAAGTTACAGTGGAACAACAACCACAAAGAATTGAAGAATAGAATAGTAGAAGTCTTAATACAGAAGCGGGAATTATCCACATAAGGAGAATGGCCAGCAGCTATGTATCTGGCTTAGCATGAATGTATGTGGGATAATCCTGTTGGTACTACTTCTGCATGGCGACACAGTTGCACGAAATGCCTGCAAACATTGAATGAGCTAGGAAATCGAAATGACGTGCACTTAATACCAGTGCCTGAACATTCGGATATTGAAGGCTACGAAAGAGTTGTTCGTTTAGCCAACAGCGGAGCCGGCTGGACGTTGGTAGGTCCGCAATTTCTCTACGTATCAAGTAGCCAAGACGAATATCGCAATAGCCACAGAAAAAGTCACGTTTGCTAATAGGAAGCGATTTAGGTTTGGTCACCGTCTTCCACAGGGTTCATAATTCTCTCAGGTATCATCTGAAAAATGAAGCTGCCGCTTCATGCAGATTCTGCCCATCATATTCTTTATAAATGCGAGGCGATCTGAAGAATTAGATACCAGCTGCCTGTCGAAAATATCACAGCATCAGACATAGCATTATGCTACGAGCCAAAGATAGTGGCTGGATTCATTAGAACCTTAAAGCTGGACAGCTATGGGCATGGGCGCGATGCGAATTGGCAACATAACAATAATAATAATAAACATAAACCTGAAGCGTTTGTTTCTTCTGAAGTATCTGCTTTACATAACTTAAGCATTCATGCTAACACGACATAAGTTTCAGTTGTCCACACGCCGTAAGAAATTAAAGAAATTATGTCAACAAGCAACATTTGTGATACTATTTGTTAGTCTGCTTTAAAGTGAAAAAAAAGGCAAAGAAAGTCGCCCGTTCGGCAGGCAGTTTTCGCCCGCCCGGTTTTTCTTCAAAGGGTAAAGCATGTGTACTTCTTTTAGTTGTAATCGTGTATGGAGTGTGCGTGGAACAAAACCGTGCCTTGTAATCAAATGAAGAAGTTGCTTGAAGAAAGAAGGCCTTTTGTAGCCAAAGTTAATCGAGAAGCGATTTTGCTTTATGACAACGCACTTTTGCATGCGTCAAAAGCAATCCCGGAAGCGATCGTGAACTTGGACTACGAATGTCCGTCTATTCCGGATTATTCCTCGGAGTTGACTTTTCCTGTTCATCCTTTGTTCAGATCGATGCAGTCATATCCATCATCAGGCCAACAAAATGTATGGAAATGGCTCGATAACTGCTTCACCTTGAAACAATTCGATATTTCTACAGGGCATTACGCGCTACCCAAAAGGCATTCCACGCTACCCAATAATAGGCAAAGATTAGCGTGGTAAGTACTCCACAACTAAATTTCGTATCAAATATTTATTAAATAAATTTAAGTTCACTCGAAAGTTACACAGAATTTTTTTTTATTTATACACCCAATATTTAAGCAGTCTATATAGTACTGTTTTCTGTTATACCCAATAAAACGATAAAATTAACCTTTTTGCTTTTGGGTATAAAAGCATCAAATGTGTGTGCGATATGTGCAGAAAGGAAAAAGGAATTGTTTTTTTTTTAAATTCGATAGCAGAACTTTAACTCAAATCATTTGCTGTCATATGTTGACAATTTTACATATCCAAGTGACGATGTTTTTCCCAGAATATTATGATATGTAAATTTGTTGGATTAAAAAAAATCGCTTTTAACGTCCTTTGCACATTCGGCTGGGGGCAAAAATGAAGCTATCGACTTCAAATTTGGCAGAAACGTTGGATGGTATTGAAAATGGACAAAACGCCTCTCGCCCACTTCCCATACGACACTTAAGTTTTAAAAGTCGTAATATGAATAATTACTGTGGGATACAGGGTGTCTATATATTTTACAAAAGAAAGTGAAAACCCTTTTCCCGAAGGGCTGCTTCTGGTAGGCTCGCCACCGTCATTTTGAATTCTTCTTAATTTTTCTTTGATTCATTCATTTTACCGGATTTTATAGTCGATTTTTGGACATCTTTTTTCGAATCTTTAAAATCTTTTTCCAATCTTTTTGCTTTACCTTCAAGCCACATTTTCAAAACATGTCCTTCTTCTTTTTCTAGAAAATTTTATTATGAAGTTGTAGTTGGAAATTGAAGTCTTGCGGTTGATAATCGCAAATGTTGGAGGATGTCTTCTTCTAAAAGAAAATGCGAGAACTTTTTTATCTAACCACGGAATTAAAATTTTTTTCAAAAAAAATTATTGATAATTGTTACAGATGAATTCTAAAGAATGGTCCGTACGGTACCCATCACTTACGACCACTATTACGTTTTGATAACAAAAAAAATGGAATTTTTCCATATATTTACCGCATGTCATGGACATCTAAAGGTATCCATGAGTAATTAAGAGACTATAGTTTGCTTCATTCTTCTTCTTTTCCTATTAACCTGCATCTTTTTTCCTGTCTTTATTACGTTGACGGTAATTTTTATAAATCCACAACCGTTGCAATAAAGGATCAACAAAAACAAGCCCAGGTACATAAATATCACAATGTAAAGTGTATGCAAATTATACAAAGATTCTTATTCCATAAATAAAAATATATGTGCATATGGTTATATAGGTTATTATAAAGCAAAAAAAAAAAAAAAAAAACAAAAAAAAAACCCTGAACATAACAACAATGAAAATAATTTCTGCATTGTTAAAAGTCAAGCAAACAAAGAGAATAAATTGCATACATAGGCAGAAAATTGTTATCAGGTGAAAGTCAATTAAATCAAGTGAGTATATATACATATATACATGTATATATTTGTGTGTATGCATGAAAGTGCATATAAACGAGAACTTTGATTAGAAACTGATTTAAAACGATTCAAGTTTCGGAGTATATTTATTTATATATTACATAACTATACAATTATTTATTACAAGAAAGTTTTGTATTACGCTACGCAATCAATTGCAAGAGCAGTTATCCTGACTTGGTTATTACGATCGTAACAAATACAGGTAAGGAGGAAAAAGCAACCCGCACATAATTGTACGCTTTCTGAAACAGTTTCTCTTGCTAAGGAAGCTCGGCTTAATGATCGATGCGATAGAGCTCTGAATAGTAGGTGCACTGTAACGGACTAAAATCTTTCACATCATTTTCACAATTGTTTCCAAAGTGTACCTTTATAAACCCAAATGGTCACAGTCGACGCCTTCTTTAAGCTTTTGATAGCTTATGTTTTTTTTTTTTAATACATAAACATATAATATTCACTTTCATCCATAAAAGGCAAGAGACAAGTTAAGATTTCTCCTTAAAATCTGCAAACTTTTTTATTATTCCATCCATCACTGCAGATTTATAACTTAGCATAGTAAATGTTGATTAAAGTTATTATAATCCTCTATTAGTATATTTTTAACAAATTTAATCCCATATCTTCGCTTGGAATTCCTAAAGCAATCATAATGAAGAAAGTAGTATACGGATTAACATAATTCCATTGTGAACATTATGGAGCTGATCGTGATTGCCTTCGGATACGAGACAAGTTTAAAAGCGTACGATAATTGATTGCGCATCCTTTATACGCGATATCTATATCGTTTTATTTGCAGTAACGTAGACAGTCGCATCTTATAAAAGCGTACGAAAATCATCATATATGACATTTATGTTGACTATTATGCGGTAATGTACATAGCGGCAGCTCATAAAATCCTATAATAAGTGATTTCTGTAACGCACTGCAACTCATTATGTGCAGCATTTATATCGATTGCTATACGATAATGCTGAAGCCGTATCTCGTAAATCAAACGGTAATTGAATGCGTACACGTATGGTATACGACAGACGCTGTAGTACTTATATCGACTACTATGCGTTAATATAAATGACTTTATTTCGTAAAATCCTACGATAACAGATTTCCTTAACGCACGACAACTCATTATGGGCAGCATTTATATCTATGAAAACTATACTACTATACGAAAAAGGAAATGGTCTTATATCGTAAAAATCTATGATAATCGAGAGCCCTGAGGTACGTAAATTATTATGTGCGATAATTCAAATTCCCTATCCTGTAAATCCTCCGATAATTGATTACACTAACGTACTGTAACTCACTGCGTGCGACATTTATATCGATTAATATGCAATAAAATGGGTGGCGATTACCTTCTAGACTTTTCTATCAACTAAAGTCTTAGGCATTCAATATAAGTAGAAAGCACAAAGCACAAGAAGTTTAAAGAAATAAAGTTATTTATCAAAATTAATTTATCGCTTTTTATTATATACTGTTTTTAAGACAATTGAGTCACTGATGGATCTAGTAATCCATACGTTCTTTGAAGATTGTCTTGAAGGGGCTTTTATTGTTAGATAATTGTGGATGAGTCTATGAACGAATTTAGTTCCTTTTTAAACTTAGAGTAACATGCGAATGGGATGAAAAATATTCGGCATCAATTTTGATCGTCTAGGCAAAAATCATGGAAAGATATTCGCAAAGATAGGCAAAGGCTTTAAAAGAAATGCAGCAGACGATTTAACTAAGGCTTGCTTTGATTTTCTGAGCAATTTTCAAGAGGGAGCTCAACTAGCATTACATTGTACTGGGCAACAAGATAATAGTTCTGTGTAAAAGTGCTACTTTTAGAGTTTACGGCGCCTTAGACATTGTTCAATTCGACAAACTGTAAAACATATAGCTAGGGCGAGCTTTGAATATATTGAAGAAAATGCCATTTGCAGGAAATGTTACTTAGCTAAGTAGTTCAACTCAATTATGATCGCGAATGTTTATTTTATGATAATACATGGATTTTGTAAAATAAATTTTGGTTTATCTTTGAGGGAATTAGTTTCCGGTATAGTGTAATATGAACTGCTCCAAGCCAAAGCAAGTCTCATTAATGATCATTGGTATAACAATAACTTATGTAATTGTGCAAAATAAATGATCGCACGATGTCAAATACGATGCTTGGTTACTTACTGCACAACAAGTTCTGAAAATGTTCGAAGCACTAAAGTGCAATGGACTATCCAACGCGCTTCATTCATCAGGTATTCCTTCCCTCAACGGCATCCATTCGTTATATATCATCATTATCTAACCAACTCATATATTTCTATGGCGAATGGCTCTTTTGATAGAAAATCTAACAAAGGCCGAAAGGTGAACAAAATTAGTATCTGCTTATAAGTAATACTTTTTAAAAAACATTGTATAATTGTACTCTGCAATACTTACGGTACAAGGAGTATATCGAATTTGTCCTGATGCATGCAACACCCAGAAGGGTTTCAGATAGACTCATGCTTTTTTATAATAATCGATTCAGAATTACTCTCTGAGTCCATTTAAGCTTGTATGTCCATCTGCCCGATTTGTTTTCTGGCTTTAAACCTGCAAAGCCGCAGTTTTAGAGATATTTTGATCAATGACGGTACAGTTTCCATTTGAAAAAATCGTAATATGAATCGTAATCTGTTGGGTGGAAGGAGGGATTTCATGGCCACCACAGGCCAACTTCTATTTGTATTTTTGTTTTAGTAAATGTTCAATTTGATGAACAAAACGCTCGAAATGTAATTAAACACTCAATAATATATCCGCCCTAAATGCAATATAATTTTTTCCTTATTCGTAAATGCAGTTTCAAAGGAACGAAATTATTGTTGACTTTAAGTTTATTGCTTTTGGCGATGTAATGCGTCTGGCAGCAGTGTAACGGAAACGTAAATGCAACGTGATCATGCAGAACATTCAAATCGACGTAAGTCCCCCGCCCTCTTCCCCTCACAAAACGCTCGAATAACGTTTGTAAGGAACAATAACATAGCATAAAGCCAATAAAGCAGATTTCAATTAAGTGTAAGTGAAACTATGAAGCATGAAATTTATGTTTTTCTAGATAAATTTTCTAGTGAATAATCAAAAGGAAGACTTCAAAGGAGATTTCGTCGTAAGTTGAAAACGCCGAGGCAGCTTAGGATGATCAAGATTGTATCTAAATCTTAACGCATTTCTATTGCGCGTTTTCTTGCTGTCACAAATTTAATTTAAAACACCCTGAGTATCTTGAGTATAAATACAACTTTTTTTTATTTACAATTGCTTATCATTCAAAAATAATTAAATAACATTTTTGTCATAACGTATATTTAGAATTAATTACTTTAATACTTTTCATCAATTTTCTATTTACTTATATGCTATTTGTTTTTTCTTTCTTTGTCTTTTACTGATTGGAAAAGTTTTTGTTATTGTCACAGATAAACACTACTGACTGATTATAAGTGAAGTGCTTTTCATTTGCAATATTTAACTGAAATGTGGTAAATTAAACTTTCAAAAATGAAAATGAAAATTATATCCTTTACAGAGATTTAAATCAAAATAATTTTTCACCATAACGAGCAAGGCAGCATAGGCTAAGACAATGATGTCATCTATCAGTAAGCAATTAAGTGAAAATTTTTTAAAGTTCACTAAAAAACAGTAAAATTAACAACAAATTCAAATGAAAACATATAAAAATATTGAAGCCAAACAAGGCCGACCAAACAACATCCTACACCACTCGTTTTGTTATTGTCACAGATAAACACTACTGACTGATTATAAGTGAAGTGCTTTTCATTTGCAATATTTAACTGAAATGAAGTAAATTAAACTTTCAAAAATGAAAATTCTATCATTTAGAAAGATTTAAATCAAAATAATTTTTCACCATAACGAGCAAGGCAGCATAGGCTAAGACAATGATGTCATCTATCAGTAAGCAATTAAGTGAAAATTTGTTAAATTTCACAAAAAAACGGTAAAATTAACAGAAAGTTGAAATGAAAACAGATAAAAATATTGAAGCCAAACAAGGCCGACCATTAAACATCCTACACCACTCGTCAATTATCCACACAACGACTTTTCAAAATAAAGCGTTACATGGGGAGTGTTGACGCGATTTGAACCATTTTCAATAGCAGTCGTGTTTGAGCTAAAGCAGGTCGTTATACCATATTTCGTCAAAGTATCTTGAAAATGACGGCTTGTGGCTTGACCAAAAGAAAAGTGGACAGACGGTCAAACTTAATGAAATCAAATCAAATCAAATGATTCTGAATTGACCGACGACGACTACAGCCGAGCAAGAACGGTCTTTAGTTACCCTGCCACCATCTCACAGTTATTAATATAGCGGCTTTCCAAAATAACGGAGTTATATAAACAGTGGTCGAAAAAGTGGCCCGGGCTAAACCATTTTCAACAGTTTTGCCACTGGGCTACAACATGCCAATGTACAAAATTTCACAAAAATATCGCGAAGGTTGTGTCCTGTAAATTAGAACGTGATTCTGAATCGGTCGACATAATAAATATGTACATCTCAAGTTTTTCTGGGTATTGCATACCTTCCTATATCCTTGTACTACAAGTGATGTAAAGAATGATAAATAAAAACTATGTAGTCGAGCATGGCCGTGCATTAAATACCCTACAACATATCATATGAATCAATTATTCATTCATTTTCCTGCTCATACACCAAAAATTATACCTTATTACAATGTGAAGGCATACTTTTCGTGAAAGCAATTATGATACGCGTCATAAACCGGATTTATCAAGTCTATTTTCTTGTTAAAAGTTTTATTATTCCGCGCTTATCGTAAAACGCCACATATTGGATTTTGTTGGCATATAAAGGCTCCTTTTTCATGAGGACCTTCGTATAAGCCGTTCCGAAAGTGAGCCTATTGTGCAAAAATTTGATTTATTTCATTCTACCCTACACCATTCGTCGTACTTGGTATATTAAATTTATGCGGACATTTGTAACACCCAGATGGGCTTAAGATAGACCTTTCTCTCTATCCAGACCCACCGCTCTATTCAGAATCATTTTCCAAATCGATTTAAGCTTGTCTGTCCATCTGTCCGCCTGATGTTTGTCCATGTATTTTGCGTTCAAATTTTGTACACAAACGTACTTTATCCCAAGAACGAATCCTATTGAAAACGGTTCGCATCCGGCTGCTTTTCCGACTACTCTACATGCAACATATAAAATTAGCTCATAATAGTAAATCGAGATAGCAATCTACCTTACCGAATTTGGACCAGGTAGGTCCCCTCTTTGGATCCCACATCACATAAGGATTCTCATGAAACGTAAATCTTTATAAGCCGAAAAAGACTGATTGTTAATTCGTTTGTAATGAAAATTTGTAATCATTAAATAAAAAAATGGAGTGGACTTAATTTGCACCACGTGGGTCTATTTCTTCGTCCTACTCCACATAAGATATTACATGAGTAGTAAGTCCTTTGAGAGAAGTGTTAATTTTGAATATTTTATGATGAAAATTAGTTCATAGTAGCATCACAAAGGTATATGTTTTTTGGACCGAAACATAGGCACTATCACGAAACGTAAACCCTTATAAGGAGAGAAAATCTACACTTCCAATATGTAAGCTTTGATGACAAGTATGTGTTTGCGTAAAAACAATGCGAGCGAATAACATAATTAGCGAACTGGTTTAGAGTATATACTAGTCGGCGTTGCCCGACTAAGATGTTCTTACTTGTTTTTATATAAAATTACTACTTAGGATGAATTTTCACTATGGAATATTTAAAATAACGTTTAGTTCTCGTATTAACTGTTACATGGGAGATGGTTCAAAATATTGGTTCATCTCATCTAAACTTTTCGAATCAATTTGAAATGAATGACAAAATATTTCGATATTGCTCGGGAAATTTTGAAAATTGCAAATATTTTCAACATAAAAAAAAATTGTCTGACCCCATCCCTGTTCAATAGGATTCGTTGTCGCAGTAATGTACTAAATTTCGCCAGGATATGTTAAAAACTGCTTCATGTAGGTTGTAGAAAGAAATATATGAATAGACAGACAGACCAGCTTAAACCAAAGAAGGATTCTGGATAGATCGCCATAATAAAAGGTGGATTACTCTTAAGTCTTTCCAGTTGTTACATACATCCGCCCAAACTTAATATATTCTCTACAGCAAGTAGTGTAGGATATGATTAAAAGGAAAATTGTCAATCAACATCAGAGACTGTATAATTTATACTGAATGCATTTGATTAACGATACTATAGCTAAAAAGCTGATGCCGCCAAATTATATGAAAAAAAAAAGTAATATTCTTATAATTACAACGATATTTTTAGTTTCTATTGGGCAACAAAGTATTACAACAAAACAAAATACAAAAATTTTATACAGTTTGTAGGAAAATTTTTTCTTCTTTTTGTTGTTTTTTTACTCTACGCTGCCAGCGTATTATACCCTGCTGCGGATATATGTAGCTCCCCGAAAGACTTGCCTTTTATTATGTCAATCGCTTCTTCATTATTTTCTGAAACAATTAAAGTTTGTCTCTCTGTCTGCCTCTGTCATATCGACCTCTTCATTTTGTCTTCAATCAGCAAACGGTGAGAATTCGCTACTTTTAAACTTTCTCGATGAAAAAGTACTGAGCACACAGTACACAGTATTGAGTGCACAGCAAATTGATGTTAAAAATTTGAATAAACCATAGAACCGTTTCGACGGAAAATAAGTCTTTATGCAAGCAAAAAGTCTAATTAGTAATATTTGATGACGAAAATTGACTTATAATTGTAGTTTGAAAGAAGATTTATCTGTAACCAATTTTGGCCATACAGGCCTATTTTTATATCTTACTCGACTTGCGGAACAAATTATACTAAGTTTGTACGAAGTTAAATAACATCGAAAAAGACTTGAGATAGGTCCACCTTTTATCCTAAGCTTGCCTGTCCGTCCTTCCGTCCGTTTAATCTTTATGTATATACTTTTATGTTTAGCCTATAGGTTGCAATTTTTGAGTTATTTTGATGCTACATTATTTTGGCTCAAGGACGAACGGAATTGAAACTAGTTCGGATCGGACCACTTTTTCGACAATTATCCTTATAACGCCTTATTTTGATATGTATGTAGTATTTCACCATTCTAAATTGGCGTGAAAACTTCAGATCGGACGAGGAAAATTTTTTAAGTCGTTGCCCGATAACCATTCCTACGAAAACTAAATCTTTATATCAACATTTCTTGGTGAAAACTAATTCCTAATAATAATTTGGACCACGTAATTCTGCTTTTTGGATCCCATCCCATATAAAGGCCCTAATAAAAAATAACTTTTTGTAAAACAAAATTGTCGAATTTCTAATATTTTGTGATGAATATGATTCAAGTATGAACTGCACCAAGTTTGAATCATACGAATCTATATTTTCCATATAGAGATTGTCTATCTGTCTGTCTGTCTAAAATTTTTGATTCCGTGAAAATATTCACAAAAGCAT